CCTGGTCCTCCCGGGCCTCCCTGGTCCTCCTGGGCGTCCCGCTCCGCCCTGGTCCTCCCGGGCCTCCCCCTCCGGCCCGGTCCTCGGCGGGACTTGCCCGGAAGACGCTCGGAGGGAAGACCGCGTGGCGCTGGGAGAAGCACTCGCCTTGCTGAGCTTGGCTGGGAGCCCGGGGGCCGGGAGCCCAGGTGAAGGCGGCGCGATCTCAGGACAGGGTCTTGCCAGCGCCGGATGCCCAGCCCCGGGCCCGCGCCCCCGGGCTTGGCGGTTGGACAGGGCAGCCTCACGCCGCTGCCCGCTCGGGGTCAGCAGGACGGCCAGCCGGGAGCACAGGAGGTGCCCGAGGACCCTGGCCCCAGCGCAGCACACGCACCCTTGTCCTGCAGGCACCTGCAGCACCCTGTCCTCCCCCCACCCCAGGGTCCACACTCCTCACCTCCCCTCCGCCCTGGCCTCGTCCCCAGCGGAGACCCCGGGTGTCCACACGCGGCGCCCCATTCCCCAAAGGCACCTGCCCTCACAGCGGGCAGGCCCCGTGTCCGGAGGCGGCCCCCGGGAGCGCGTGGCCCCAGCCCGGTCCCCGTCATTGGGGCCGCCTGTGAGCTGGGGGTGATCCAGGGCTTTATTGTCTCACGCCCTTCCGTCACCTGGTTGGGGGGAGGGGAGGCCCCGTTTTATGGGAGAATGGGGGGCCCGCCCAGGCATCTGATGGCAAACGCTGCCTGTGGGCAGGGCCGAGCTGCTCCCCAAGGGGAGATGGCAGGGCTCAGCCCGCAGCCCACACCCGGGCTGGGGCGGGGGAGTTGAGTGGGTGAGGGCCCCCCTCTCCTCCCAGAGGTCCCCAAGGTGGGGGTGTCCCAGAGGCTGTCCATCGGTGCCCCGGGCTCGGCCTCCGAGGGCCCCACGCTGTGGAATGCTTCCGTGGGATTTTCTCAGGCCTCTGGGTGCCCGGAACCACCTGGGCCTCCGTGTTCTGGGGGAGGCAGAGTCCTGTGTGGGCCCAGTTCTGGGGGGGGGGCAGCCTGGCCGGATAGGGACGGGGTGGACAGGATGATGCTGGCATGCTGACGCTGACGGACAGGGTCCCCTTAACGATATTCCTCTCCTGGAGCTGGGGGTGCCTGCTCCTGAGCCACCCCCCAGCCCTGCTCCCACCCAGCTCCGCTCCTGCGCCCATTTCACAGACACACCCAATGAGGCCGGAGGAAGGCTGAACCAGTCACCTCCCTCTCTTCCCTCTGCCCCTAAACCCAGCAAGGGGCGCCCCACCCCACAGGAAGTGCCCCAGAGACGGAGGGGTCATTGCCCCCGGGTGTTGGAGGGAGGGAGAACGGGGCTGTGAGGACGCCACCGCCGAGACGCTCCTTTGAAAGCCTGGTCCCCCTGCGCCGAGAGGGGCCTCAGGATTGGACCCCAGGACCCCGGAGCTCAGGGTCCCCGAGGAGGCAGGACGCCTGTGGTGTGCCCACCGCTCCCAGCGGGGGGTGGTTGGTCCCCGCGTCCCGCACAGGCCCGGCCTCCCCCGCTCAGGCGGCCCGGCTGGGAGCCTGGACGCGGGGCCCCGAGTGCGGGACGTCCGGGAGCGCAGACCCCGAGGGGAGGGAGGGGAGAGCCGCGCCCCTTCCCGGAGCCGCGCGAACCGCGGCGTCAGCACATCCGGCCTCGCTCTTCGGTGGAGTTTGCGTCTGAAATCGCGAAAACCCACCCCCGGGCGGGGCCGCTGCTCCGGGCGGAGGGGCGCGTGGCCCCGGCCCCCTCCGCCCCGCGAGGCCGCATTGATCCCGCCGCGCGCCTCGCATTAGCCTAATGGTCTCACTGATGATCCGCTCTTTTCGCTAAAAGCCGCCCCTCCGGCCCCCGCCTCCCGCCTCCCGGCCGCGCCCCCTCCCAGCCCCTCCCGGCCGCCCCTCCCCGGGCCCCGCCGCCCCCGGCCCCGGCGCCCGCCGCCCCCGGGCCCCGGCCTCGGCATCCCCCGCCCCGGCCTCCGCATCCCCCGCCCCGGCCCGGGCCTCCGGGCCCCCCTCCCCGGCCCCCGCCGCCGCCCCCGCCCCGGCCGCCCGCAGCCCGCGCTCAGCTCCGCCCGGAGACGCGGCTCCTCCGCGGGCGCCGCTCGCACCCGTGGCCGCCTCCGAGTCGGGCCCCGCGGGGCGCGGCCGGGCCGGGGGGGGGGGAGCCCGCAGGACCCCCACCCGGTCCCCCTCCCCGACCCGGGCGGACCGAGGCCGGCGGCGGGAGCGGGCAGGCCCCTCGGAGGCTCCCGGCGCCCCGCTGCCCTCCACCCGCGGGGGGTCCGGCTCGGGGCCTTCGCCGGGAGGAGCCGCCGTTCGCAGCCGAGGCCGCGGGCGGAGGGGAGGGGAGGACCCGTCGCCCCGCCTGGCCGGGCCCGGCCCTGCCACCTCCTCGGCCGCCGCCCCGGAGTCCGGCCCGCGGAGGCCCCGCGCCGCCCGCCGGACCCTCTGTTCCCGGGAAACAAATGCTGCTCGCCCCGCTCCTTTGTGGTGGAAAAGCCGGGGAATCGGAAAAAATAAGGCCCCGAGCCCACTGCCGAGGGAGCGAGTCCCACGGCCTGGGCTTTCTCACTTATTTATTCACTTAGTTGTTAGTTAGCTGTTAGTGGTTAGTTAGCTGTTAGTTAATAGTTACTAGTTGGTGGTTAGTTAATTGTTAGTAGTTAGTTGGTATTAGTTAGCGGTTAGCTGTTAGTTGTTAGTCACTGAGTGGTTAGTTAGCTGTTCGTTAATAGTTAGTTGCTAGTTGGTGGTTAGTTAATCATTAGTAGTTAGTTGGTTATTAGTTAGCGGTTAGCTGTTAGTTGTTAGTTACTGAGTGGTTAGCTGTTAGTTGTTTGTTAGTTGGTTATTAGTCAGTGGTTAGTTGGTTGTTAGTGGTTAGTTGTTAATTTTTAGTTGTTAGTTGGTTATTAGTTAGTGAGTGGTTAGTTGGTTGTTAGATGTCAGTGCAGGCCCGCGCTGGGCCACGCTGCACGCCCACGGAGCCGGAGTGGCGGGCGGCCTCCCCCTGAGGCCGGGAGGGGTCCGTGTGGAGGAAGCGCTGAGTTCAGCGCGCAGGTCAGTGAGTTTGGACAAAGGACACCCCACACCCTCCTTTCTGGGAAAGGAGAACGTCCGCACACATGTCTACAAGGCTGCCCGTGAGAGACCCCGCACCCCGTCCGTTATTTATTCTCATCGCGGGAGGCGCGCGCTGTCAGAGCCCTCCATTTCCACAGGGAGAGCCGCGGGGGCAGAGCCCGCTCCCCCTCCCCGCGCTGGCCCCTGGGGGGGAGGGGGAAGGAAGAGGGGGCTGAGGCGGTGCGGGCTGGGCTCGGCTTGATGCCCTCTGGAGGGACCGCTCTGGGAGGTTTGCTCAGGGCAGGCCGGCCAGTGGCCCCTCTGGTGCTCCTGGGGGACCTGCCCCGGCTCTGAGCGCCGCCCCTGAGCCCCGGGAGCCGCGCCCTCCCGGAGTGGGCTCGCCTGCCGCAGTGGGAGTTTCTGGGCGCCCTGCAGGAACGCCTCCGCGGACCGGGTCCATGAGGTGCAGGCGAAGCAAACACGCCTGTCTCCGTCAGGAGTCTTTCAAGTGGGGCTCAAGGGGCAGCGAGCCCATCCTGGCACCCCCACCTCGTGGCACCCAGAGCCCGCCCTGACACCCCCACCCAACCCGCCCGCCTCTGGGCGCGGCCAGGTGACTCCTCCCCACCCACCCTCCCGTCAAGGAGGCTCTGCTGTTCCCCGTCTGCCTGGCGGGCGGGATGGGGCTGTCCGTGGCCCTGGTCTGTCGTGGTGAATGAATGACGGGCAGGCGAGGTGGTAGGCAGTCCCACGGCCTCAATGTGATGTGGGGGCGGCCACGGCCCACTCGGGGACAGTCCAGACTCGGGACGCAAGGCTGACGTTGGACCTCAGGCCCCATGCCCACAGGTCCCCTGCCCACAGGAGACGCCAGTGCCCACTAGAGGGCAGAGCCCAAGCGCAGTGGGGAGTCCCATGGGGGTGGGCGCCCCGCCCCGCAGAGACTCAGTCCTGATCAGGCTGCGGGAGAGGGGGGGACGGGGGAGGAAGCCGGGCTCCGCACCTGTCAGGACCAGCACGTGCTCTGAAATTGCTGCACACCTGTATTTGCAGATTCCTTTTTTACCATTTCTGCAGAGTTTGAAGGTCACGGGGTCATGTGGGAATGATTTCTGTTACCTTATATTTCATTTTTTTAAAAACTTGTTTGGAGAAGTAACACTATTTGTCTTAGGTACTGAGTGCGGGATGGGGGGGGGGTGGGGGGAGCCGGCTGCTGGGCCTGAGGCTGCCGTCTCCAGGGGTCTCGGAGGATCCCCTCCCAGGCTGGAGCTCCGTCTTTGGTTAAGGCCTTCAGCTGCCGGGGTGTGTGTGTGTGTGTGTGTGTGTGTGTGTGTGTCTCCCAGTCCATGTGGATCTCCTCTGAAAACCACCCTCACGCAGCACCTGGGCGGGTCTGACATTCCCCCTCAGGCAGCCAGGCCCCTGAGCACCCTCTCCGCGCACAGAAAGCTGGCCTCCGTCACCTGCGGGAGTGCGGGCAGCGTCCGCCAGCCTGGCGCTCTGCAAACCACTGGTTTCCCAGGGGCAGCCCGTTTGGGGCGTCAGCCGTGGGGGGCGGGCAGCGGCCCTGGGCAGCCGTCACAGTGCAGGACAGCGGTGGCCTGTCTCACTGTGTGACCACCTGTCCCCCAGCCTCCGTCTCCCCCGCCCAACAGTGAGCCCCGGAGGGCGGGGAGAGCTTACCCACCAGGCCCACTGGGCCGGCAGGGAGAGGGGCTGGTGGGGGCGGGGCTGCTCCTCCCGCGGCGTCCAGGGGGTGGCAGTGCAGGGGCGGTGGGCCTGGCTCACAGCCTGCACCTGTGCTCATCGGGGTCCCTTGGGGGGAAGCAGAGCAGCCCGGGGCCGCGGATCCGCAGCTTGCATGTTTACGAGGGAGAGAAGCCCTGGAACCTGGTTTCGGCTTAGGGAACCGGGTGAACCTCCCAGCTAAGAGACCAGAGGCCCTTCCACGCCGGGCCAGCCACCAGCTGACCACTGCAGCCGGAACACGCCAGTGGGAGTGCCGCCCACGAAGGCAGGGCACCCAGGGACGCCCTGCCTCTCCTTCCCGTCCTCACACCGGGTGCTCTCCTCCAGGCCCGAGCGGCTGCCGAAGCTCCAGCCCTCGTGCCTTTGTCCCCGCGGAGGAAAGGAAGTGCGAGGAGCAGAGGGGTGTCCTCCCAGCTTCCAGGGGTGCCCCAGAGGCCCTTTCCCGGACGCCTGCCTTCCTCTCTGTGACCACCCCACCGCCCAGAGGGCTCAGTCACTAACGCGGAGAGGGGAGTGGGTACCGGGGGCCACAGGAGGCCCTGCCCCCAACCGCCTCCTACTGGAGATGGAGCCCACAACCCAGGCATGTGCCCTTGATCGGAATCGAACCCAGGACCCTTCGGTCTGCATGCTGATGTTCTATCCACTGAGCCACATGGGCTAGGGCCAAACCAGGACTTTTATTTTTTTTAATTTTAAAAAAATATATTTTATTGATTTTTCACAGAGAGGAAAGGAGAGAGATAGAGAGCTAAAAACGTCGATGAGAGAGAAACATTGACCAGCTGCCTCTTGCACACCCCCTACCGGGGATGTGCCCGCAACCCGCAACCAACGTACTTGCCCCTGACCGGAACCGAACCTGGGACCTTTCAGTCCGCAGACCGTCACTCTACCGCTGAGCCAAACCGGTTTCGGCCAGACCAGGACCTTTAAAAGTCCTCCAGTGGGGACCAGTCTCAGGGTTGTGCTCCAGGCCTGGGGAAGGCTCTAGTCCACCAATCACAGCGCAGCAGCCTGGGGCGTGCGGGTCAGGGGGTGTGGCTTTCCTTAGACCCCCTGGAGGCCAGGCGCCAGGCTGGGCCCGCCCCTCTTGCTGTGTGGCTCTGGGCCAGGCCTGGCCTCTCTGAGCGGCCTAGCTGCCGTGGGGGCTGGGAGGAGGCAGGAGGTGGTCCTGGGGGAGCACCCCCCACCCTGTGGGGCGCAGGAGGTGCTGGAGGAACAGTGCCCAGCTGCTGTGACAGGAGTGAAAGCCCGGCCTGTCTGGGCTCTGGCCAGTGGCGCCCACCTTGGAGCCGTGTTCCCAGACATCCGCCCTGGGCGAGCCCACCCAGCCAAGCAGACGGTGGGGGTGGTGGGGATGGTGGGGATGGTGGGGGTGGTGGGGATGGTGGTGGGGATGGTGGGGATGGTGGGGATGATGGTGGAGGGGATGGTGGGGATGGTGGTGGTGGGGGTGGTGGGGATGGTGGTGGTGGGGATGGTGGGGATGGTGGGGATGATGGTGGAGGGGATGGTGGGGATGGTGGTGGTGGGGATGGTGGGGATGGTGGGGATGGTGGGGATGGTGGGGGTGGTGGTGGGGATGGTGGGGCTGGTGGGGGTGGCGGGGATGGTGGGGCTGGTGGGCTGGTGGGTGGGGATTGGTGGGGATGCTGGTGGAGGGGCTGGTGGGGCTGGTGGTGGGGCTGGTGGGGCATGGTGGGGATGATGGTGGCGGGGCTGGTGGGGCTGGTGGTGGTGGTGGGGATGGGGAATGGTGGTGGTGGGGATGGTGGGGATGGTGGGGATGGCGGGGATGGTGGGGATGGTGGGGATGGTGGTGGTGGGGGGGGTGGTGGTGGGGATGGTGGTGGTGGGGATGGTGGTGGTGGGGATGCTGGGGATGGTGGGAATGGTGGTGGTGGGGATGGTGGGGATGGTGGGGATGGTGGGGGTGGGGGGGGTGGTGGTGGGGATGGTGGGGGTGGTGGTGGTGGGGTGGTAGGGATGGTGGGGGTGGTGGGGATGGTGGGGCTGGTGGTGGTTGGGGATGGTGGGGCCTGGTGGGGGTGGGGATGGTGGGGATGGTGGGGATGGTGGTGGGGGGGGTGGGGTGGTGGTGGGGCTGGTGGGGATGGTGTGGATGGTGGGAGTCGTGGTGGGGGGTGGTGGGGGTGGGGGTGGGGGGGCTGGTGGTGGTGGGGGTGGTGGGGCATGGTGGGGTGGTGGGGCTGGTGGGGGTGGGGGGGCTCGTGGTGGTGGGGGTGAGGTGGGGCTGGTGGGGGTGGTGGGGCTGGTGGGGCTGGTGGGGCTCTGGGGCCTGCTGGGGCTATGGTGGTGGTGGCTGGGGTGGTGGTGGGGCTGGTGGTGGGGGGGCTGGGGTGGTGTGCTGGTGGGGCTCGTGGGGGTGGTGTGGAGGCTGGTGGGGCGGGTGCCGGCTGGTGGGGATGGTGGTGGTGGGGGTGGTGTGGATGGTGGGGATGGTGGGGATGGCGGGGATGGTTGGGGTGGAATGGTGGGGATGGTGGGGATGATGGGTGTGGGGATGGTGGGTTGGGTGGGTGGTGTGGTGGGGCATGGGGTAGTGTGGGCTGGTGGGGCTGGTGGTGGGCTGGTGGGCTGGTGGGGCTGGTGGTGGTGGTGGCTGGTGGGGCTGGTGGGGCTGGCGGGGCTGGGTGGGGGAGGTGGGAGGTGGTGGGGATGATGGTGGTGGGGATGGTGGTGGGGGTGGTGGTGGTGGGGCTGGTGGTGGTGGGGCTGGTGGTGATGGTGCTGGTGGTGGTGGGGCTGGTGGTGATGGTGCTGGTGGTGGTGGGGCTGGTGGTGATGGTGCTGGTGGTGGTGGGGCTGGTGGTGGGGTGGGGGTGGTTGGCTGGTGTGGGGCTGGGTGGGGGTGGTGGGATGGTGGGGGCTGGTGGGCTGGGGGTGGTGGGGCTGGTGGGGCTGGTGGGGACTGGCGGGGCTGGTGGGGCTGGTGGGGTGGTGGGGATGATGGGGGGGATGGTGGTGGGGTGGTGGGGGTGGGGAGGGTGGTGGTGGGGATGGTGGGGGCTGGTGTGGTGTGGGATGGTGGGGATAGGTGGGGCTGGTGGGACCTGGTGGTTGGTGGGGACTGGTGGGGCCTGGATAGGTGGTGGGGATGTGGGGCTGGCGGGGCTGGCGGGGATGGTGGGGGCGGGTCGGGTGCTGGGTGGTGGGGGTGGTGGGGATGGTGGTGGTGGGGATGGTGGTGGTGGGGGTGGTGTGGATGGTGGGTATGGTGGGATGATGGGGTGGTGGGGATGGTGGGGGTGGTGGGGATGGTGGGGATGGTGGTGTGGGGATGGTGGGGATGGTGGGGATGGTGGTGGTGGGGGTGGTGGGGGTGGTGGGGATGGTGGGGGTGGTGGTGGGATGGTGGGGATGGGGGGGGGTGGTGGGGATGGTGGGGGGGCTGGTGGTGGGGATGGTGGGGGATGGGGGCATGGTGGGGACTGGTGGGGTGGGGGTTGGGGGATGGTGGGGTGGTGGGGCTGGTGGTGCTGTGGGGGTGGGTGGCTTGTGGGGCTGGTGGGGCTGGTGGGGGTGGTGGGGCTGTTGGGGCTGGTGGGGGTGGTGGGGCTGGTGGTGGGGAGGTTGGTGGGGAGCTGGTGGGCCGGCTGGTGGTGGGGCGGTGGGTGGGGGTGGTGGGGGCTGGTGGGCGTGGGGGGTGGTGGGGATGGTGGGGAGCTGGAGTGGAGGGGGTGGTTAGGGCATGGTGGGTATGGTGGGGATGATGGGTGGTGGGGATGGTGGAGGTGGTGGGGATGGGGGGATGGTGGTGGTGGGTTGATGGTGGTGCTGGTGGGGCTGGTGGGGATGGGGGGGGCTGGTGGTGGTGGTGGGGTGTCCTGGTGGGGCTGGTGGGCTGTGTGGGGCTGGTTGTGATGGGGCTGGTGGGGCTGGTGGGGGGATGGTGGGGCTGGGTGGGGCTGGTGGGCTGGGTGGGGAGGGTGGGTGGGGGGTGGTGGGGGGTGGGGCTGGTGGGGCTGGTGGGGGTGTGGGGCTGGTGGGGCGTGAGGGGCTGGGGCTGGGGATCTGATGGTGGCTTTTTCTCTACCACAGTTGGCATTCACTGGGCTTTGCCCGGCACGTTACTGAGGAGAATGCAGTGATCACCTGTCACTCTCCTCGCCCGCAGACCCAGAGCCAGGAGAGCCCGCGGCGAGTCACCGGTGGGGGGGGGGGGAACTGCCACCGGGCTGGGAGCGAGGGGTGCCCCTCAGGCCCCGGAGGGAGGGAGAGGCCAAGGCCTGGTCCTTCCGGGCTGGGAATGTTCCTCCAAACATGCTAATGACATGCAATGTCCGGTTCCTGAGTGGTGTGTCGGTGTGTCAGTTTTCAGATGTAAAACTCAGCTCCTGGGTCCCACCAGCCACATCTGTCCTGTCCCAGCCCTCTGCACATGGCCCCAGCTATGCCCTGATCATCACCATCAATACCATTATCACCACCATCACCATGATCACCACCATCACCACCATCATCACCACCACCACCATCACCATCACCACCATCACCACCACAACCACCACCACTACCATCACCACCACCATCACCATCATCACCATAATCACTGTCATCACCACCACCATCACCACCATCACCATCACTACTACCATCATCACCACCACCACCACCACCACCACCATCACCACCACCACCACCATCACCACCATCACCACCACCACCACCATCACCACCATCACCACCACCACCACCACCATCACCATCACCATCATCACCATAATCACTATCATCATCACCACCATCACCATCACCACCATCACCACCACCACCACCACCACCACCACCATCACCACCACCACCACCACCATCACCATCACCACCATCACCACCATCACATCACCACCACCACCACCACCACCACCATCACCATCACCACCATCACCACCATCACATCACCATCATCACCATCACCATCATCACCATCACCATCACTGTCATCACCATCATCATTATTGTGGTGTCACCAGGACAGTTTACTGAGCTCCTCACCTGTGTCTGTGCATCACATCTGTCCCCTAATCCAATCTTTCCCATGACCCTGCAAGTGTCCTGAGGCTGCATCACCCACCCACAGCACCCACAGCACCCTCAGCACCCACAGCACCCTCAGCTCCCTCAGCACCCACAGCTCCCTCAGCACCCATAGCACCCTCAGCACCCTCAGCACCCACAGCTCCCTCAGCACCCTCAGCTCCCTCAGCACCCACAGCTCCCTCAGCACCCATAGCACCCTCAGCACCCTCAGCACCCACAGCTCCCTCAGCACCCTCAGCTCCCTCAGCACCCACAGCTCCCTCAGCACCCTCAGCTCACTCAGCACCCTCAGCACCCACAGCTCCCTCATCACCCTCAGCTCACTCAGCACCCTCAGCACCCACAGCTCCCTCATCACCCTCAGCACCCTCAGCACCCACAGCTCCCTCAGCACCCTCATCACCCTCAGCACCCTCAGCACCCTCAGCACCCACAGCTCCCTCAGCACCTATAGCACCCTCAGCACCCTCAGCACCCATAGCTCCCTCAGCACCCACAGCTCCCTCAGCACCCTCAGCTCCCTCAGCACCCACAGCTCCCTCAGCACCCTCAGCTCACTCAGCACCCTCAGCACCCACAGCTCCCTCATCACCCTCAGCACCCTCAGCACCCACAGCTCCCTCAGCACCCTCATCACCCTCAGCACCCTCAGCACCCTCAGCACCCACAGCTCCCTCAGCACCCATAGCACCCTCAGCACCCTCAGCACCCACAGCTCCCTCAGCACCCTCAGCTCCCTCAGCACCCACAGCACCCTCAGCACCCACAGCTCCCTTAGCACCCTCAGCTCCCTCAGCACCCTCAGCACCCTCAGCACCCTCAGCACCCACAGCACTGACTCTGGCTGTCGAATTCTGTCCTCTGCTCTGCTCCCCCTGCCCCGTCTCACAGTGATGTGGGTGCAGGACCAGGGGTCAGGGCGGGACTGAAGTCCGGGCCAGAGGTGGGGGCCGACAGAGGGCTCTCCACACTGGCCTCCGAGAAGAGCCGCTCCAGAGAACCTGGAGAGCGGGGGCCGGAGGCCGGCTCCCAGGCGGAGGCCGGCGACCCCAGCAGTGAGTGCAATTAGCCGTCAGGATGGAGGCCGTGCTAATTGCCTGCCCGGCTGGGTGCTCAGTAATGAATGAGCGGAGTGCTGCCGCCAAGGCGTGGCCTTCAGCGCCCGGGGTCAAGGCCAAGTGCTCCGCGGCCTCCTCTCCCCGGGGCAGCCCGGTCAGCAGCTGTGTGCCGCCTCCCCTTTGTCCCACCGTCAACACCGGGACGGAGGAGCTAGCAGGCAGGGGTCACAGCCCCTCGGCCTGCGGTCCCTCAGCCAGGTGTGGGACCCCCTTCCCCCCCAAACCCCCCACCTCACAGCGGGCAGAGCTCGGGGGGAGGCCCCTCTGCAGGCGGGCACACCCGCCCACCTGGCAGCTGTGCAGGGACGGGTCCATGTCCCGAAAGCTCTGAATGTGACGCCGTCAGCCCCCTGGGAGGTCCCCCGCCTCCACCTGCGGTCCCGAGGGAGCGGGTGAGAGAGGGGAAGGTGGGGTGCGGCAGGGCCGGGCCCCGCTCTCTCCTGCGGGCAGCGGGAAGCCGTGCGGGTCTGGCTGTACAGCAGTTCTGGTGGGTCTATGACGAGGGCTTGGAGGGTCGGGGTGCCTGTGGGGGGCGTGTCCTGAGCCTGGCTGGGGGTGGGGAGGCAGGAGGAGGTACAGGTGAGCTGTACTTGAGGTGGGAGTGTGGTCAGCTCCTGGGACGGGCCTCTTCCTCCAGGCAGCCCTCCAGCTCGGCCCCTGCTTGTCTCTGGGGCCTCATCCTTCATCCTTCCTTGTCCCCTTCCAGAGTGCCCCATGGCCGGTGCCACTGACTCCCCCTCCCCCTGAGGGCCCCAGGCTTCCTGTCCCCCCCCCTCCCGCCCGCCCGGCCAGGGCCAGACTCCCCCTCGTGTCTCCTTGGGCACAGTGTCGGCTCGCAGGGCAACCCTGGTGCAGAGCGGAGCGGAGGGGCTGGCGCTGAGGAATTTGTTAGAATGTCCCCACCGCGTTCACTCTCAGGGTGAGAGGCAGCTGAGCACAGAGCACAGGGACTCCCAGGGGACCCCCGCCGGAGAGCAGGTGGTGTGCTCCCCTCGTCACACGGCGGAGCTGATGCTGTACTGGTTACTAACCGGCGTCCGCGGTCATTCCCGCTGCTGTGCGTTCTCTGGGCTCAGACACACGCATGTGGCATGTGTGCACCCTCACAGGGTCCCTCCGTGCCCGCCCCCTGCCCAGTGCCCCGTGGCGGGAGCCACACCGCGTGTGGCCTTCTCGGGGCGGCCCCGGCACTTAGTCACAGGCTTTACGGTTCTGCCGCACCTTTTCCTGGCTTTTGATTCTTATTATTAAAAAAATATTTTTATTGATTTCAGAGAGGAAGGGAGAGGGAGAGAGAGAAACACCCATGATGAGAGAGAACCATGGACCGGCTGAGTTCCCACCGGAGAAGCAGGCCGGTCCCCTGGAAGGACCCGCTTTAAGTTGGTGAGTGGGTGAGAAGCGGGAGGAGAAGCCGGCCGGTGAGCGGGAAGAGAAGCCGGCCCGGCCATCGGCCTCAGCCTGCTCCTCTGCCGGAGGCCGCGCCACCTGCCCGAATCGGAACCGTTCCTGACAGGATTTCTGAGTTTTGTCAGATGTGAACTGTTAAGATTTAATTGGAAAAATGAACAGAACGCAGCCGCGATTCGGAGGAAGTGACCCAGAACCAATTAGAACCGAGCAACAATTGGCCATTCAGCCAGGTTCGCGCGGGGAGACCCCGGGGGAGGCTGCGGAGCTCCCGCCCCCTCTCCTGAGCTCAGAGCGGCCGGCAGGGGCCTCCCCGTGTGTCCCACCCGTGTCCCCGGTGGGAGCGTGAGGCGCGGACGGCGCCGCGGACCGGGGCTGGGACGAGGCACCGGTGGGCTCTGGCGGGAGGACAGGGTCAGGCGGGCAGCCTCCCTCGCCAGATTGCTGCTGACAGCGCCAGGGAGGCGGGGCCGCAGAGAGGGCTTTCATGTGAGACAGCACAGCCAGTAATTGGTCATTCTTCCTTCTCCCTCCCGCCCGCTGGGAAATTCCTCAGACAAAGCTGGCTCCCGGGTGCCACCGTCCTAATCCTCCGGGGCGGGTGCTCGGAAGGTGCCAGCTGAGCGAACCTGGCTGGCGTGCGGGCACCGTGCCCAGCGCATAGTAGGTCCTTCTGAGAGGCGCGGGGAGGGAGGGCGGAAGGAGCAGATGAGTGATGGCAGGGGCAGGAGCACGTGGCCCAGGGTCTCTGGTCTGGGCACCGTGGTGGTGGGAGAGCTGACCCATGCCGTCCGCCTGCCCCCGCCTGCAGAGGTCCACTGGGACCCCGGGATCTTCCAGTCCCCCTGGGCCTTCTGGGACGGAGCCCTCCTCATCCGGCGCCAAGTCCTGGTCACCTTCTCGGCCCGCCCCTGGCGACCACCGTGCCTGCTCCTGGGAGACCGAGGCCAGGGAGGGTCACGGGCCAGCTGGGCAGAGCCTGGACACTGGGCTTGGCCCCTGGGTGTCTGTGGCACCTGGGTCCCCCTGATGCCCGGTGCTCAGCATCCCTGCGGCCCGTCTCCAGCACTGGCTCCTGGAGGTTCCGGAAGCAGGGCCCTGCCTGGCTGGTCCCAGGTGCTGGGAGCCAGAGCCCAGGACCAGCGGCCTGCCTGGGGCCGTGCAGGGCAGGGAAGTCCTCTCTGCCAACGCCGAGGCCCCGCTGCTGCTGGGCGGGCTCATTACCGCCTTCCCGCCACCTGGACGAGGTTCCTGCCGTCAGACACCAGTCTCGTCCTGCACCATGTCCACGCTCTCCATCACCCCAACTCTTTAAAAAAATATATGTTTTATTGATATTTTTACAGGGAGGGAGAGGGATAGAGTCTGAAACATCGATGAGAGAGAAACATCGATCAGCTGCCTCCTGTACATCCCCTACTGGGATGTGCCCGCAACCAAGGTACATGCCCTTGACCAGAATCGAACCTGGGACCTTTCAGTCCGCAGGCCGATGCTCTATTCACTGAGCCACACAGAAACGCTTAAAAAAAAAGTCTTTATTGATTTCAGAGAGAGGGAGGGAGAGAGGGGGAGAGAGAGAAACCTCAGTGAGAGAGAAAAACATGGATTGGCTGCCTCCTACACGCCTTCGACTGGGGATCGAGCCCACAACCAGGCATGTGCCCTGACCGGGAATCGAACCAGCAGCCTCCTGGTTCATGGGACGATGCTCAGCCATCTGAGCCCACCGGCCGGGCCCCAAACTCTTTTCTGACCTGTTTCCTTTCCCTCCAGAAGACTCAGGAGGCCTGGCTGCGTGTGAAGTGCCACAGGGCAACACCTAAACCGCAGGTGCCCGTGGGGCCGGTGTGACCACGGGGTCCCTCAGGCGGCTGCGAGGGCGGGCCTCAGACCTGGGTGTCCTGGCAGGGGTCCCGGCAGCAGATGCTGAGGCAGGTCCGGGGGCGGTGCTTGCCTGGGAGGTGGTCCTGGGAACGTGGGCCGTGGGAGGTGGCACGGACACGGGTGGCTGCCCCCGGGCGTGGGGACATGGCCCTGCAGCTCTGGCTGCCTGCCGGGCGCTGGGCAGAGGACAGACCTGCAGCCAGAGAGATGCGGGGCCGAGGGCGGTGCGCAGCAGCTGGCGGTCGGGCAGGGAGGCGGCTGCTCGAGGGCGCTGGGTCTGCGGGCGGGAGGTGAGCAGGACGCCCCTGGGTATGAGGGGCCGGCAGCTGTGGGTGGTGGGCCTCTGCACACCGCCCGCAGCGCCTGTGTCCTCCCCTGCGAGACGGGGGGAAGGGTCCTCGGTTCCCGGGGAAGTTTGGGCCCCAGGACGGCCGTGACTGCGAGCGGCGAGCTGTGGGCAGCAGGGCCCGCCTGGCCCGGGAAGGGGCTCGGGGCCGGCAGTGCCCTGCAGGGAGGAGGCCACGGTCCCGGGCTGAGGCGGGGGGACGAGGCGGGGGGACGAGGCGGGGAGGGGGTCTGTGCGGTGCGGCCTTCAGGCAGGTGTGAGAGGCCGAGGTGTTAATTTCTCTCAGTTGTGAGGAGCCCCCGCCCTGCCTGGGGGTGGCGGGGGGGGGGGGCGGTGGCTGGGATGCCTCCCGGGTGTCCCCTCGGGGGTCTAGAATTCCAGCCCGTGGGCCGCGCCTGCCAGCGGCTCCCCGCCTGATGCATCGCATCTGTGCCTCCCCGGCTCCCGGCTGAGGGCAGCGGCGGCCTGGTCTGCATTAGCGGGCGATCAGGGGGAGTCTGGCTCAGCCTGAGGGTCTGCTGAGGGGTGACCCCGAGCCTGGATGAGAGAGCGCCAGCCAGCCCTGGGCCCGACTGTATGGGGAGCAGGGCGTCGGCCCTGGAGGGGGGCGGGGGGGTGCCTGGGCGAGCCCTGCGGGAAGAGTCCTCGGGGCAAAGGTGAGCAACTCCCCCCCATTTCCTTGTGAAGTTCCAGGGAACCGTGTGTGTGTGTGTGTGTGTGTGTGTGTGTGTGTGTGTGTGTGTGTGTAAGGGGTGGGGGGAGACAGGCCAGGACACACCGGCTGGTTCTCTTGCAGCAACTTGGGCCCAGCCGAGCAGGTGCCCGGTCCGGGGGGCCGAGGGGCGCTGTGGGCGGGCACGCCGGCCTCAATCCCTCGCTCCTCCTCTCAGGGCCTCAGCTCTGCGGCTGGGCGGGCGCCGAGCCGGCAACGCGATGGACTGACGGGTGCCTGTTAGGTGCCTGGTCCTGTGGAGACCTCGCCATGGACTCTGGGTCTCCGTCCGTTTCGGGCGGTGCCCATGACGCCCGGCTTGTCCCCTGGCACCCTGGCTGTGACCGCCCACAACCACAGCCGCCAGCGAGGCCGCTCTGGTCCCCGCCGCAGCCCGGCCGGGCGGGGGGCATCCGGAGCTCACCGCCAGGTCCGCGGGGCCCGGGGGCGGGCCTGGCCCTCAGGCTTCCTCCCGCCTCCGTCTTCCCCTCACAGAATTCAGGGGGCGAGGCCCCGATGCTCCCCTGTGGACACACAGGCCCGGCTGAGGCCGCCTCAAGCCCCGGCCGCTCAGAGTGCCGTCCATGGGGCTCAGCCTGCGTTCGGCCTCCGCTGCCTGCTGCTGCGGGGCCTGAAGATGTGAGTAAGCCCCGGGCCTCAGTTTACCCATCTGTAAAGTGGACACCAGAGCTTCACCCCACAGGGTTTGAGAGGATAAAGGAGGTAGCTGTGGTTCTAGAAAAGTACAAGTCCTCGCCCTGGTGCATGGCACTGTTGGTTGGAGCATCGAGCACCAAGGTTGTGGGTTCGATTCCCAGTTGGGAAATACCCCCAGGTGCGGGTTTGATCCCCGGTGGGGGAGTGTCCGATGCGTCTCTTACATGGATGTTTCTCTCTCTCCCTTCTCTCTCTCAAATCAAACACACCCGGTGAGGACTTAGAAGAAGGAAGAGGACTCCA